CCTTTTTATGATCTAGAAGAAACTAAAATTTTAACTAAAAGCTCCCCACAGACGGTGCCAAATTGTTTGACCAACAAGTGTTAAGCTCTTTGATTAAATCAATTAGTAATGATAAGAAGGGTGAATCTTAGTTAAGGATAATAAATTCTAGACCGATACTAAACGGAGTAGGCAAGATGGATGATGTTAATAAGTATGTTTGAGCTGATCAAATGCTAATAAATGCAATAACATAAATGTGCAATGAATATAGATTAATGCCACCACTAGCATAGCAAAAAGGATTTACTTCCCAATTATTGTGAAACTAGAACGATTCCTTCCCCTGACAACAACGTGGAATGAATGGAATAATAGAGAGTTCTGGGATCCTTGGATCTTGCGAATATAGAACCAAAAATGTGGGTTCGAACAAGGTAATCAATGAATGAGACAATTTCAGTATATTCTCAGGTAAACTCTTTACATAAATTCCTTTTATCAAGAAGTGAAGATCCCCCTTTTGTTCTCTATCTCTTCCTATTTATAAGGGACATTCCCCAAAAACTCTAAAAAGTACAAAGCAAGGAATATTCTTTGTGTCTATATTATGAACTTGTGCTACCGTTGTCCCCTCATCTCAGCTGCCCGTCTTTGGCATCAAACGTCTTGAGAGCAACCCTCAGTTGTTATACCATGGTCGACTCTGTCCTTTATCTTACTTATACTTTACATTCGATACGCAAATTTAGACCTATACATATACATGTACCAATATCAGTATAAGCTAACCATATTAACTGGTTACATATTTTATAAATGAATAATTATTTTCATTTATTATGAGCAGTTTTTTATAGAGTAATTAGTTGAATATATAACTAAATAAATAATAAACATATGTGTTAGGTGTTTGTCATAATTTTCTTACCATATTTGATTTTCCTATCTCTTGAAGGAAAAGGGCAATATAATTACCTTAACTGGGTTTTCCTTTTGTAAAAGGAAATTATAAATCTCCAATATTTGGCTAGTCCTTTTTCTTGTAGGAAAAGGTTTGGACTTCTATAAATTGAGGATTCTTCCTTCACATTCAGTAGCATCCACAATGTAGCCATAGGGGGCTTGAGAGTCTTGTTTAGGGGGAGAACTTTACGGGACAAGTGTTAGTGTGTCACTTGTGTTTGCCTCTTCGTGAGGTTGTTCTCTCGATATTTTATACTCTCTTTTTATTATAGTGGATTGCTCATCTCCGTTGTGGACGTAGGTCAGTTGACAGAACCACGTTAAATGTTTGTGTCTCTTTTGGTAGATTTCTCTTTTGTTGTGTAATTTATCGTCGTTCAAGGTTTGCTTTGCTAGCTTTCGCATGACACCTGACTTTTTCCGGTCCTAACAATATGATCTTTTTAACGCCTTCACTTTTTAGATGAGATGGTTCGCCTATCACCCATCACCACCTTGATTGTGGTAAATTTTAATTTTTTGGTGAGTTACAGCGAGCAAAAAATGATGGCTCTAGCGGGAGCAGGCGATTGGATGAATTTTGGGGATTGGAAAAATAAACAAATTTAAAAGTGAAACAAATTCTTTTACTTCGTTGAAATTTGAGTTTTGGAGGTTAGAAATGATTTCAATGTATTCGAAGGTTCAAATTTGCTGGTGGATATACAAGGGTTGCGACAATGGGGGTGTTGGGGCTTATAGTTCAAAGGTGAAATTTTGAGATTAAATTTCTTTCTTATTATGTTAATTAATTTTGAAATAAAATAAAAATATACATATTTAGATTTTAAAAAATAAATAATCTTAATTGTTTAATAGTGAGACACAGAGATCACAACTTAATAATTATATGTATATTCAGTTTCAGACGTCTTAATGTTAATAAAAATAAATGGCCCCGTAAATTCAATTCAATTTCGTTATAACATTCTTTTCTTTCTTTTTTTAATATTTTTCCTTGGACGTGAAAACGTACATAGAAAAGGAGAAGCGCATGTGTGGCTAGGCTTAACTCTTAAGTACTTGGAAAGGACGAAATCAGTGAAGAAGACGCATTGCTATCATTTGCTTTCACTTTTTTTAAAATGAAAATGACTTTTGATCGTTTTGTTTTCTTTTTCCAAAATGTTTTTGTCTCTTCTTAATAAGAGGCCATTTCTCTAGCGTCTAATACTCTAATATGTAATTTCTTCTTTTTTTTCCTCGAAATGTCATTAAATACTATTTTCTACTTTTCCCATATTTTATTCTTATGTTATGATTATTTTCCTAGACTAATTTTTGAATATCAATTTTTCCAAGTTATGTTCACCTTTACAAGTTTGTCCTACTTCTAGAACTTTTTACTAGATTGAAGTCTTACTTATCCTAGAGGAGAGTCTTTTCCAAAAATTTCTACTTTTCCATGCAACAACGTATATAGGATTTTTTATACGTGATATTAGTATTTAAAGAAATAAATAAATAAAGATCACTATAATAACAAGCAATGCTATTTTTATATTATGACTAAATTTTTTATTTTATATATATATATATATGAGTATAATTTTTCAATGAAACGGGCAAGTTATATTCTTCATGCATGTTTCCAAGTATTTGTTAGGAAATATTCCTATTTTATTTGAACTCTCAATTTATTATTTTTGATTTATAATTTAGCAATTCACGAGTTTGAACTTTGTGCAGGCAAAACTCCTATATTAAATTGGAAGAAGAGCAATAGACTGGTCCATTATTTGCTTCGAATCGTATGGGTGAAAATCATTTACACCCTTAATTTTGCTTTAAAAATTAAACTTTTTCCTCAACTTTGAATAATGTTATGGCTTATATATCAATTTAAAGTAAATTTGAGTGGTGTAAATAATTTTCACCAGAATCAAATGCCACTAATTTTCGCAGATTTCTCGATCATATATCAAAATGAAGTTTAGCAATTCATTCAATAAACATGTAAAACTCTATTTATATCCGGCCACCTTCTAGAGTTCTACGTAATATAAATTGATTTCAATTTGTAGATAGTAATCAATAATTCACAATTCGAACAGGAGAATTGAGTTTCATATCATTGATCAAATCTAGTTAGATGTTCTTATCCCATAAGCTCTTAATTAGAAGGGGGAAAAAAACAAAGTCAAAATTAAACTTATATCTTTATTCATCTTTTTCATTTTTTTATTTTTATTTTTTAAATAGAAAATTGCATGTCATCTGCTAGGAGTACGAGACATGTCGTAAATGTATCCCCCTTTTAAGAAGCAAAGAGGTAATTAAATAAAAAATTGAAAAAGAAATCTACTCAAATCCAGCAAACCATTTCAAAATCAAGCACTTGTACAAAGTGATATCATAAGCAAAATTGTTAATTTCCCAGGTGTTTAGCTTTTGGGAAAGCCAGAAAAGAACGAAATTTACCTCATCAGGCAAATACATTAAAAAATCCAATATAAAATAATGTTAAAGAATTTACACTGTATTTATTAGCTTAGTCACTGATTCTTGTTATTTATTAAATTTTCCCAAAAAAATTTGAGGGCTGCATTAGTTCTATGTTTGACACGTTTAATTAGAGAGTCAATTAAACAAACTAGAAAGTAAACCACTGAAATGGTCTTAAATTTAATTAATGTTTAACTGGATTACTACTGATTCACTTTCACTATAAATTCATAGGATTTAGCACTTTTTCAACTTTAATTAACGTTTTAAATGAGTAACCCTGACAAGTGTCTGATCTGGTTAATTAATTAAACATAACACAATCTAATCCTCGTCACATTTTGTTGGCTGAAAGAAAACAGTTGATTTTTCTCAATTTATAAATCATGAATCTATATCCATATAATTTTATCACTTTCTAATTTCACTTTTTGATTTATTTTTATGCTCGTATGTATCGATGATTTCGATAACAATTTTATTTGCTAATTTTCAATGAGACCATCTAAAGTGGGACGAAGGGAGCAGAGGCGGATCTAAGATTCCAAGAGGATGGGTGCACTATTGTGAAGAGGTGAATCTAGAATTTACATTTGACGTGTTTAACTTTAGTCTCTTACCATGAACTCACTACACTTAAAATTATAGGTTCAAAATTATATCTTTTTACAATATCTAGTGATTTTCACGTATATATTTATGCTTTGTGCTGAAACAAGACCGTCCGAAGTGAGATTTGAACCGTCAATTTTACTCGTAGAGGTGCGCCCAATAATTATTATACCATATGAGTTTTTTAGTATGGGTGCACGCACATATATTTAAATAATTTTGAATAAGTATAACATTATTAGACATGGTTTAGGAAGAGGAGTATGGGTTCACGTGAACCCATACCCCAAGGCCTAGATACGCCCCTGAAAGGGAGTCTTAGTCAAAATGTTTTAATTGTTAATTTTTAATTAGATCATATTAAAGTGAGACGAAGGGAATACTTATTAAAGTTTATTTGCAAATTAAGTTGTTAATTTAACACGGATAAAGCCATAACATTATGATAATGGAATGAAATGAAATATAAAAGATGATTTGAGGCAATAATAATAATAATAATAATAATAATAATAATAATAATAATAATAATATACATGTTTTAAATATTTAAAATGCTTGTAATAAGTTTATAATGTCCAACAATATGTTTGCTAAATGACCGAAACAGCATATAATTAATATGTTCCTCATTTGATAATCTCATTACCTGGAAACTGGCTAGAACCATATTCCTTTCTACTTTATACTTTTTAAATTTAAAGAATATGGACCGATATAATATATATATATATATATATATATATATATATATATATATATATATATATTAAAAAAATAAATTATTTTAAATTATAATAATTTATTTATCATTTTTACCATGTCTTTTTTCGGTAATTAAAACTTTCATTAATAACCAAAAGTAATATACAAATCAGTCAGACTTTATAACTAAGTCTGTATCTCTCAACTCTACTATCAATATTCACTTCTACACCAAAACTGTCTACTATCTATTGCTACCTAGGAAATTTATATTTTTGAAGCATCATCTTAGTGGTACTATTAGCTCGAACATGGCAAGTATAGGCAATTTCTCGGGCCATTGATTCACGTGTATTCTCCTTATGAGCAAACAGTCTGTTGTTCCTTTCCATCCAAATTGCATACACATATTCTGTAAACACCATCTTCACTAGCTTTGCTTTGTTAGTTTTCCCTTTTGTGTTATGTTCAATCCACTGTTGCATTTGACTCCAGTTATTCATATTCACCCAGGTTAGTTGTAGCCATTGCATTAGTTTCTTCCAAACCCGTCTTCCTGCTGAACATTCTGCAAACAAATGGTCTCTGGTTTCTGCTACTTCTTTGCACATAACACATCTATTATCTACTTGAATCCCCCAGCTTACCAGTCTTGTAGCAGTTAGCAAACTATCTTGTTGTTGTAGCCATGTTATAAACACTGCTTTTGGCCTTACTTCATTACCACATATGATGTTTTTCCATGTGACCTTAGGCAACTCCCCAACCATTTTCAAATAAATGTTTCTGATCATGCTTTTATTCTTCAAATTTTCTGGTTGTACATACTTCAATCCTTCTCTTGCTTTGAGTATTTTCTTGACCATCCAGCTAGCTTGGTGAGGGATAGTCATACTCTCCAACATCTATGCTTTTATATAATACTCATTAATTCACTTAATCCACAAAGTGTCTTTCTTAGTCTTCAAATCCCAACAGGTCTTTATTATGACTGCTTTGTTCCATGGTTTGAGATTAGTGAGATTTAAACCTCATGCTGATTTTGGCATACACATCCTGCTCCAAGCTACAAGTGACTTTTTGGTGATTTCATTTGTTCCTGGCCATATGTAACTTCTGCAGTATCCTTCAATGGCTTTCATCACCTTAGCAGGAATGATAAATAACTGTACCCAATAAGATTGAATACCAAACAACACTGACTTTACCAATTGTACTCTTCCTGCATAGGATAACTTCTTGGTTGTCCGAGCTGATACTCTTGTTGTGATTTTGGTTATTAGAGGCTGCCATTCTACCAATTTTAGTTTTCTGGTAGCTAGAGGGATTCCTAGATACCTGAATGGTAGTTCCCCTTGGCTATAACCAATTGCTTGTTGAATTTCCTGCTTGCATTCTTCTGAAATCCCACCATAGTATATAGCACTCTTGGATTGGTTAGCTTGTAGCGCCGAGGCACTTGTGAATGTACTAAACTTTTCATGTAGAAGTCCCACTGATAGCTTATCTCCCTTAGCAAACATAAGAAGGTTATCTGCAAAGCACATATGTGTGATGTTTAGCTTGGAGCAGTTTGGGTGATACTTGAATTGTTTCCCCTCTTTGAGTGTACTGAGAGTTCTACTCAAATACTCCATAACAACAGCAATAGAAAAGGAGACATTGGGTCTCCTTGACGTAGTCCTCTGGCAGCATCAAAGGGTGGTGTTGACTCTCCATTTATCACTATAGAATAGTTAACAGTAGTGATACACTCCATCACCCATTTGATAAATTTTTGAGGGAAGTTCAGTTCTGTCAGCATTTGCTCCAAAAATCTCCAATCTACTGTATCATATGCCTTCTGAATATCAACCTTTATCATACATCTAGGGGTTATATGTTTTCTTGTATAAGCCTTCACCAACTCATGTGCCATTATCACATTATCTGCTACCTTCCTTCCTAGGATGAAGCTGATTGAGTTTCAGTGATTATAGTTACTATTACCTTCTGAATTCTGCAGGACCTTTGCTATAATCTTGTATAAAACAGTGCAACAAGCAATTGGCCTATACTCCTTAATTGTAGCAGGGTTGGCAACCTTTGATATCAGTGCGACTGCTGTACAATTAATCCCCTTATACATTGTGCCCGTTGTGAAGAACTCTTGTACAACTTCAACGATTTCTTCCTTAATGACTGGCCAAGCTTTTTTATAAAATATTGCATTATAACCATCCACTCCCGAAGGGTTTAAAAGTCTTGTTTTGATTAAGTTGAAGTGTCTAGATGAAACTTTATGGAGTGTAGGGATCGGCATGACAATAAATATAAGCACGTTTCACTATAGTTGAGACACTAACGTAACTTGAGAAAGATTTCTTAAGAATCCTTTCAAAATCTTTCCAAACCGTAATTAGTAGTACTAACTACTAACAATCCAATGATTCTCCTTTATTTAAGCCAACCAGCTTCGAATTTATGGCAGTACATAATCACGCAAATATTTTAAAATTAAGGAAAAAGACAAAGTTCCTCTACATACAACTCCATTCTATGGTTAGAAAACGACCAATGAAACAGTTAACACGTAAGAAAATCATATGTCTCAATCTATTCAAATTACCTTTCTAGCCTTTACAACCAATTTCTGGACTTCAATGTCCTTTTCCTCTCTTCTTTTTTGGAGTTTAAGTTATACTAGATATTAACAGAGTATGAAATTTTCATAATGAATTCTAACACAGATATGTTATTATTTTTACTAAATTACTAATTAATGCTTAAATAAAAATTACCTATAATCTTTTTACTTATTGACGAGACATATATGTGGCGGTCAGTTGGTAGGACGTAGGGGTGTATAAAAAAATTGATAAACCGTATCAAACCGATAATCCGAATCAAACTGGAAAAAGAAAAATCGATTGGGGGTTGGTTTGGTTTGGTTTGGTGTTGGCAAAAATAACCCGACCATAGTTGGTTTGTTTTGGTTTTAACTAAAAAAAGTCAAACCGGAACCAAACCAACCCGATATTATATTTGTATAGTTTTTTAAAATATTTTATTGTAATATAATTTATAAATATTTCTTCAACTTGTTCACAATTTTATTTTTAAACATATTATACAAATTTGGACTTAACATTCTTGAATGGTCCAATAAATTTTACTAATAAAAGTAGTAAGTCAACTAAAGCTCAAACCAATACTAATCCTTACAAAGGAAGTTCAATTCAACACTAATGCATAGCCTAGTTTATTTTTTTTCTTTAGTGCTTAGTTGTGTAATTAATTAGCACTTATTAGATGTACTTATTTTAGCATTACCTATATAGTATTTTTAGATTATCTTAATTTTTATTATGGCGTATTAATTAGTAATAATTTATTTATGCGCTTTTATTATCTTTGTTATTGAATATTATTTAGTAAAATGCTATGACTAATCTCATATTATTGTGTTATTTTCTTGAAAAATACATTATATAGTTGTATCCTACTAGGACTAAAGAAATAACTGGAGTGCAAGTTACATATTTTGTGATATGAAGACTTTATCGGAGGAAAACCCGAAAACTCGAAAAAACCCGAAAACCTGAGAAAAACCAAGATTGAAAAATCCGGCTTTATTGGTTTGGTATGGTTTATATATTTAAAAATCCGACACCATTGGTTTGGTTTGGTAATCGCAAAAACCGAACCAACCTGGCCTATGTACACCCCTAGTAGGATGTATTAAGACAAAATACTATGGGGTCGTTTGGTTTGAATACGGCTTATGCTGGGATAAGTTATGTTGGGATAAATTATGTTGTGATTAGTTATGCCGGGATTAGTTATCCTGGTATTATTTTTTATCCACTGTTTGGTATGTTGTATTAAAAATGACAATTGCTTAATTTCTAAGGAGAAGGTATAAGTTATCCCAGCACTAATTACCCCACCCCCTACAAGGTATAAGTTATCCCGGTACTAATTTTAATCCTGGATAACTTATACCAGGTTTGTTAACCAAACAAAGTATTAAGGTGGTATTAATTTTTTATACCAGCACTATATCTACTTATACCTCATACCAAACGACCCCTAAATGTATTAGTTTTAATATTATTGGTTTCTTGTTTGGTAGTGTTTTTTAACTTTTAAAATCTATTCAACCAAGTATTAGTTATACATCATATTCAGTACTATTCTTATATATAGTAACCTTTGGCATCAGCAATACCACCGTGTTTAGTATATGGATCAGCATGTATAAAATCGGAATTGCCCTTTCAAAACTTTTAATACACCAAACCAAACAGTGGATAAAAAATAAAGCTCAGTATTATTAATACATCTTAATCGGTACTATTCTAATACACTCTACCAAATCACCTCTAAAACTAATTATCTAATAAGTGGCTTATTGTAAAGCGCAGACATGTGCACTAAGCTTCTACTGCTATATGCGAGGTTCGGGGAAAGGTCGGACCTCAAGGCGATATTGTACGCAGTCTTATCTTGCGTTTTTACAAGAGGTTATTCTTACGACTCGAACCCGTGACCTTATGGTCAAATAGCACCAACTTTATTCGTTGGTGTCAAAAGTCAAAATACAATATCGATATATATAATTAAAATCTTTTCTTTTGCAAATCTCAAATGTCTCTCTCTTTCTCCATATAAATAGAGAACCAGTTAAAGCTATTTGCTTTTCCGAGGTAAGCTACCAGAACAACTTCTTCTCCTCTCTCTTTAATTCACAAACCAACCAATAAGCCTAAACTAACCAAAACTTTCATCTCTTTCTTCGTGCAAAAAACGTAGCAGAAACAATCAACAGAAATGAAAAGGAAAGATCGATAAATATGGTTCACTAAAAGCTCTCTTTTTTTTTTTTCTCAAGAAACTGCAAAAAGTTCAAAAACCAATAAATTCTATCAATCCTTACTTATAAGTAAGTGCCCCTTGTGTTGTCATACTTCTCTGAGTTCTTTTTACTTATTTTCTTGGGAAAAAAATTGAATTCATAGTTTCAATATGGTAAAGTTTTTGCCTTGTTTTCAACTGATATCAGCAATGCCATTGACTGTTTTCTACAAAAACACTCTGTTTTTTGTACTATTTTTACATCATTCATTTTCTTGGAACTTTACTTTAGTATGGGTCAATCACATAGTAATTAAAACTCTCACTGATTTTCTCACTTTAATTGATTTTTTCAGTTCAGAATCTTTATACTATTGCACATGGGTTTTCAGAGATTAAGATGATTTAATCAAAATTTTGTAGTTTGTACCAAGTGGAATGAACTCAAAAAAAGTTTTAAACTTTATTACTACAGTCAAACATAAATCTCTATAACAACTTCATTTATTTCGAATTTTTTTTAAGTGTTACAAAAAATATATATTGTGATATAGTAATACGGAAATTAGTTTCATAAATAATTTGGTATATTGATGTTGTTATTGAAAGGTCTGACCGTATTAAGGGGTGAAATGAACTGAAGATTTGATCTTCACCTTTTGTAATATATTTCCCTTTTGTGTTGTTCTTTATTTATTTGCTCAACATCTCCACTTTGTCTTTCCATTCTGTAAAGTCCTCCTAAAAAAAGAATAAACATAATCTTCAACCAAAAGTAACTCTCTGGCTTCTCTTATATTCTATGTTTATTATTTAACAATTTTTTTTAAAATTTTTTTGGTTTGGTTTCTTTTGGTTTACGATCCCTTCTCAGAAACTGTCTCCAAATCTCCTACAAATTGTTCTTTTTTATAATTTAAATTCCACCGTTGAAAACGCCATTAATGACTTGTTTATAGCAACCATCGCACTAAACTATATGTATTATTTACATTTTTCAAACTTTCTTTCGCCTTCTTTTCTGCTCTTATGTTGACATATATACTTATCTTATAATCTCAATCTCAAT